AAAAGGGAAGAGAAGCTGAATCAAGTACAAATAATTCAATAAATCTTGAAGATCTTAAAAAAGTTTATCAACAAAATAATTATACAAATCAAATTCTTCATACAATATCTCAACATATGGAAGTATTAAATACAAAAATTGATACACTAAAGAAACCAGATTTAAAATTCCCAAATGATATATCAGCACCTCATTTTCAACCTAGAAGTCTGACAAGAGAAAAAGAACAAGATTTAGTACAAAGTATTAGTACTCAAAAGATAAGTAATACAGATAATTTATTAAATAAAATATCTAATGCATTACAAAATCTAACTACAGATTCAAAACCAACAACACCCAAAATAAATACCTTAGACCAAATAATAGAAGAAAACTCTACTGAAGAATTAGAAGATTTATCAGAAGAATCAGCAAATTCAGACATAGAAGAAAATATACTTTTACCAATAGAAAATCAATTTGAAGAAGAAAATAATCAAATAAATAGAATAAAAAGAAAGAACTATAGTAATAATAAAAATTGGAAAATGGTAAGTTCAAAAAATTATTATCCTAGACCAAGTCCTCCAGATATTCAATATGAAGAAAGATCAAAATTTAGAACAACTAAATATGATGGAGACTCAATATATGAATGGAACATAGATGGCAAAGCAGAATATGAAGTATTAAATAATTTACAAGAAATGGGAATGGCGAGATTAGCCTATAAAATTAAAAATATTCAAGAAAGAAATATTGCAACTTTATTAGTCTCAGGATTTACTGGACAATTAAAGAATTGGTGGGATAATGCTTTAACATTACAAGATAAATTATCAATATTAGATCATACACAAGAAATAGAAGATGATCAAGGAAATATTCAAATACAGTCAGATGCTGGAGAATTTTTAATAGTAACAATAGTAATGTATTTCATAGGAAATCCTAAAGAAGAATTAAATTCAAATAAAACATTCTTAACAAATTTAAGATGCCCAACATTATCAGATTTTAGATGGTATAAAGATATGTTTTTAACAAATGTATTAAGAAGACCAGATTGTAATGCTTCATTCTGGAAAGAAAGATTCATAACAGGATTACCAAGTTTATTTTCTCAAAGGATAATGGATAATTTACAAAAGGAAATGGGAACAGATGTAATTTCATTCGAAAATATTACTTTTGGACAATTATTTGCTTTTGTGAAAAAAGAAGGATTAATATTATGTTCAGAATTAAGATTACAAATAAAATATGGATCAAAACAAAAAGAAGTAGGATCATTCTGTGATGCATTTGGAATTAAACGAATCAAATCACCATCAGCATATAAAAAGAGAATTAAAAAATATTCCAAGAAACCAAGATATATAAAATCTAAGGAAAATGAACCAACTAAAAGAAAGAAATTCATTAAAAAGAAAATTGTTTGTTACAAATGTGGTAAAATAGGACATAAAGCAAACAAATGTAGATTAAAAGAAAAAATTACAGAAATCTGTGTAAATGACGAAGAAATTAAAAATAAATTAATAAATTTGTTAATAAATGAAAAAGATAAAAGTTCTGAAGAAGACTATTATGATGATATTACTAGTTCCGAAAGTGAAGAAGATTGTAACTGTAATCCAAAATATATAAATGTTATAACTAAAAAAGAAGATAAAGAATTTTTATTAGATATAATAGAAAAAATTGAAGACCCAATAGCTAAAAAAGAATATTTAGAAAGATTAAAAAGCTTAATTATTCAAGAAGATAAAATGCCAAAGATAATAGAACCCTTTAGCATTTCAAAATTAATAGATAAATATCCAAAAATAAATATAATGAAAAAAGAAACTACTAAGGATCTTCAATCCGAAATTAATAATTTAAAAATACAAGTAAAACAATTACAACAAGAAATCATAGAATTAAAACTAAAAGATTTGGAAATAGAATCAAAAATAACATTAATAAATAACAATCAACCTTCAACTTCTAATACTGAAACGAATGAAATATTAATAGCAGAAAACCCAGTAAGAGAAGACCAATATATAAATACTATAGAAAAAATGACTTTTCAAAAATGGTTCGCTTTAGTAACTATCACAGTTGAAGATTTCAAAGAAACATTTGTAGCTCTAATTGATAGTGGAGCTGACACAAGTTGTATTAAAGAAGGAATAATTCCAACTAAATATTGTGAAAGAACAAAAGAAAAATTAATGGCAGCAAATGGAGAAGATTTAGAAGTAAAATATAAATTTACAAAAGGATCAATATGTAATAATGAATATTGCATTAGACATAATTTCATAATTGTAAACAATATAAATCATGATGTTATATTAGGAACACCTTTTTTAATTCAAATTTATCCATTTTTAGTAAACAATGAAGGAATTTCAGTAAATATAATGGGAAAAATCATTACCTTTAAATTCTTAACTCCAATAAGACAAAGAGAATTACAAACCTTACAAACATCTTCAATATATAAAACAATAAATACCATTACTAAAGTACAACAACAAATAAACTATATTAAAGAAGAAAAATCTTATTTAAAAATTGAGGAACAACTAAATGATATTAAAATACAAAAAAGAATATCAGAATTAGAAGAATTATTTAAAAAAGAAATTTGTGCAGACATTCCTAATGCTTTTTGGGATAGAAAACAACATATGATAGAATTACCTTATGAAAAAGATTTTAATGAAAAAAATATTCCAACAAAAGCTAGACCAATACAAATGAATGCTGAACTACTAGAATTTTGTAAAAAAGAAATAAAAATATTAATAGATAAAGGATTAATAACACCTTCAAAATCACCTTGGAGTTGTGCTGCATTCTATGTAATGAATCAAGCTGAAAAAGAAAGAGGAGTTCCAAGATTAGTAATAAATTATAAACCTTTAAACAAAGTTTTACAATGGATTAGATATCCTATTCCCAACAAAAAAGATTTGCTTAATAGATTATTTAATGCAAAAATATTCTCAAAATTTGATATGAAATCAGGATATTGGCAAATATTAATAGATCCAAAAGATAGATATAAAACAGCATTTACAACACCTTTTGGACATTATGAATGGAAAGTTATGCCATTTGGATTAAAAAATGCACCATCAGAATTTCAAAATATAATGAATGATATTTTCAATCCTTATAGTTCATTCAGCATAGTCTATATAGATGATGTATTAATATTTTCAGAATCATTAGAACAACATTTTAAACATTTAAGTATATTTCTAAAAATAGTTAAGAAAAATGGATTAGTTATTTCTGCTCCAAAAATGAAATTATTTCAAACAAAAATAAGATTTTTAGGACATAATATATATCAAGGAACAATAAAGCCAATAAATAGAGCTTTAGAATTCGCTACTAAATTTCCAGATGAGATAAAAGAGAAAAATCAATTACAAAGATTTTTAGGATGCTTAAATTATATAGCAGATTTCTTTCCTAAATTAAGACAAGAATGTTCTATATTATTTAATAGATTAAAGAAAAACCCAAAACCTTGGACAGAAGAACATACTCAAAAAATAAAATATTTAAAAGCAAAAATAGAATCATTACCATGTTTGTGCCTACCCCATCCTAAAGCATTCATGATAGTTGAAACAGATGCTTCAGAATTAGGATACGGAGGAATATTAAAACAAAAAATAGATAATTCAAAAGAAGAATTAGTTAGATTTCATTCAGGAACCTGGTCAGATCCTCAAAAGAATTATTCAACTATTAAAAAAGAAATTCTATCTATAGTTTTGTGTATATCAAAATTTCAGGATGACTTATACAATAAGAAATTTTTAATTAGAATAGACTGCAAATCTGCAAAAGAAATTCTACAAAAAGATGTTCAAAATATTATTTCAAAACAAATATTTGCTAGATGGCAAGCTATTTTATCTGTATTTGATTTTGATATAGAATTTATTAAAGGAGAAAATAATTCTTTACCAGATTTTCTAACCAGAGAATTCCTACAAGGACATGGATATCTCTAAAAACAATCCCACAAAGCATCTACATTAAAAGTTTTTTAAAAAACACCTTCAAAAACAGCTAATCCAAACGAAGCCACTAGTATTATATTAAAGAAGCCATAACTGCTCACTCTAATCATCCAACTCTTTAAAGCAACTCAATTGATTTTGTAAATGTTCAAAAGGGCAAAGGTTTGCAGTTACATTTCCACCATCAAGCACTGAATTAATCTTGTTCTCAATGCATTCATGTGAGCGTAAACGTGCTTCAATTATTCAATTAACCTGTCGAAGTATTTGCACAAGCTCAATTAGCAATTACAAATACATAGAAGAACCTCTTTGCCTTAACTGCATTGCTAAGGGCTACTCTGAAGAGTAAAACTGAAACAACCGCCCCATGACTACACATTCACAGGTGTAAGTATCACCCCACTAAGGGTATGGTGGGTAATGCACACACCACAATGCATACCATGCTGGTACTCTAACCTTAATGACTTGTACACTACTAATGTATTGCCTAAAGTGCCGCTCAAAAGATCAAAAGAAATTTATCCACCAAACAAACACCAACTCCATTTTATGTATACTAGTGCTTAAAACACACTCAATGCGTGTGCAATAATAAATAAATATTTAAAATTTTTTAAAGATATTTATTGAAATTATTTTTTATGAGATTTGGTTTATATTTTTATAATACATATAGAAAATTGACCTTTACATAAATAAAATATACAAACAGACTATTATATGATAAAAGGAGAGGCATAAGTAAATATGATAGTGAATAACTATAGTTAAAAGATAATTTAGGAAAATCATAAGATGACAACTTTTTGTTTATACCAAAAACCTCCCTACACTTTTATATATGATATAAATAGAGGTAAGGGTAAATTTGAAAACATACAAAGTTATCATTAAGTTAGTATTAATTATTTACAAAGGTTTTATTATTGTCAAGATAGGATATTGTTTTAAAATTTAAAATTTGAGCAAAATCAGCACCGTTAGGGATTGGACATTTCCCGCGGTCCCGCCCCCTCCTTACCTCAAAAATTCTTTTGCAATTTCCCCGCTCGCTGCCATCATTTTGAAGCGTAGATGAGTTGTAGAGAGGGGAATTGACAAGAGAATGGAGATGGGGTATGATTATGATGAGCAGAATGAAAAACATCAGCACCATGAAGCAGTGGATGGGCTGTTCAATCTTTTCAATAAAGCCAACAATGATCTCGCCATGCTCCATGACAGACTTGACAAGGAGTTCAAGCAAATCTACCCCGATAATGTAAGTTTTCTTGAAAACCCTCCAAACCCTTTTCACATTTCCTATCGAATTTACTTTTATGAACTTCAATTTTACTTTTTATTTGTGGGTTTTTTTTTTCGCTTTTAGGCAAACCCAATGAAGCTTGTGGCCAGAATCAAGAAAATTCAGGAGGAGGTATCATCCCTTAATGAGCAGTGTCGTGAACTTCTTGCAGCCAAGCAGGTAGTATTCCTTTTTAAAATTTTGGTTATTTATTTGTGTATTTGTTTTTTCATTTGGGAGTTTTTTTTCTGTCGTTGAGGAGTAGATTTTGCAGGGTTGGTTTTATACTTGTTTATGATGCAGATGAATGGAAATCTGGATTTCTAGGTGGCATTGTATTTTTCTAGAATAATTATAATTATTAATTTTTTTTGGGATGCAGAATAGGTCTTCAAAATCAGATTATGATATTGACTTGTTGAGTTTAAGTGAGGAAATCTTGTTTGAAAATGGGATTTTTATATAATTTTGGAATCATAAATGACTAGAATGTATGGTTTGAGCAGAGTTAAGATAATGTGGGTATTAGGTCAAGAAATTGAACTTTTGACCGGCCCTATTTCAGCTTTCAAGGTTCTATGAGAAAGAAGGTGGAAGGGAAACCAATGGAGTTTGCTGTTGGAATCCAAATGTTTTAAATTGCTTTGACAGTTTCACATTTTTTTGAGAGTTTATTATTCGCGTTGGTTGTGATTGGACTGATGCAAGAACTTTATTCAGACTTTTGGGTGCTCTTCTGAAGTCGTAATATTTTCCTTCCCTTACATTTTCAGGATTTAATTGACAAAGCCAGGGTAATCTTGGTTGGAAACAGGTCATTACTGCAGAGGCTTCAAGCGTCAACAGGGGTTCCAGTTACTGACGATTCTAATGATTCTGCATACACAAACTTCAATCAGGTAAGATGTCATTGCGGCAGAAACTTAGTGCAGCTTCTATTCTTTGCAATGGTATGTCAACACTTTAATCTTCCCACACATGTAAACTTACTTGCTTTTTGATACTGTGGATCTTCATGCAAAAGGGATTAAATCATTCTTCCCTATCTTGGTTATCTTGTTTCGGTTTTTATTTATTTCTTCTTTGAACTCCACTTACAACATGAGTATGAAGGAAATAAAATTCTTGACTTGTGTTGGTGTTCACGGGAAATAGTAACGAGAAATCATGAACCAGAACAATCAGGAATATTTTCTTCTTCACTAGTTTGACTTTCAAATTTGAACTCATCAAAAGGGATTTTTATTTTACTGTAGGAGTAAAGGTGAGAAAACATAATCCTTTATGTTTTTCTCTTGTTTCTCCTTTTCTCCCACAAAATAGTAGATCGTTATGTTTTCTCCTTGTCTTATTCTTCTTCTGGAAGTTCAGAGGATAATAATAGACAATGAATACCTGCATGGACATAGTCTATGGCCCCAGGTAAGTATATACCTAATAGACATGGCTTTATCTCTGGGTGTTAGTATACATTGATGTTATTTCAAACTTGTAAGAACAAAACTATTTGTCATCTATGTTTATCCTTGCTATGCTTTGGGTCTGCATCAATTTGTATCATTTGTCATTTTATGCTATATTATCCATGTAAGAACAGCAATATAAGAAAGCAATCCTTCCTTTCCTCTTCAAATCAGAGCTTAAGTCTATGAGAAAGTTCTTTAATATCCCTTCGGCACAAATTGATCATAACTAGACCTTCTCATCACTTAAAACTGAGGAAAAATAACAAAATCTATGAGTTCTATACTTTACAACCTGAAGGTTGTGATTTCCAAATGGTGTCTAAAGATCTTGCACCATTTGCCAGCAAGCAACCAAAATTTTATCGAAGGCAAGGTTTGTCATGTAGAGCACCAAGGGAGCAAAAGCTTTATGCCATGCTTCCATCTGCCTTGCTGCATATTGCGTTATCTGCTTTTAGTTTCTATCAGAAATTCCGTGGCCCTTATGTTTTCTGATTCATAATCTGCAGATAATTGAGGAGTGGACAGTTCAAGTGAGATCAAGAACAGGTGATGTATTGTCTATGCCATTTTCACTTATCCTGGAAAGAAAGGAGAAAAACGAAAAGGTTACATCCATGATAGCTCATACCATAATCTCTCAGAGATAGCACATACTAAAATGGTTTGACAGTTTTGACTTTTCACAACCAGTAAGGTGTTAAAAGCATGACAAGGTAGTCAAAATACTTATGCAGGGGAATCATACCCTATTATGTTTACTCTTGGGGCAATCAACGACAAATCTAGTCTGATGCTATTTCTGTTATGAAAACATTTAAAACAATAATGGTCCTCCAATTCCTAGATTTTTATTGCGTTGGCACCCACAGTTCTCTGTCTCCTTTTCTTCTTTCTGATGATTTCTAATCGTTGCCCTAAATACCTTACCAAACTGTAACTTGGTACATCAAGCCTGAGAAGAAGTCCTTTAACTTGCCTAAAATCTGCTATACAAGTTTAATTAGCTTCATCTGCTATTAGAGTGATTGACCAGTAAACTGGGAATCAGCATGCAAGGAAACAGGTGTGGGTGGGGGAACATCACTAGACCTAAAGTGGCTCAATCTCAATCTTGATGTAAATAGATTATGTAGGGGTTTATTTCATCTGGTTGGCTATATTTCATGTGCTGTTGTAAGTTGGCAATTACAATGCTCAAATTATCTAGCGTACAATAAAATTCATTGGGTCAAAATTTTTGGACCATTTCTTATGATGCTTAATAGTGAACCGATCCCTTATTATTTGATTTTGGCGTGCTTGTTAGGAGTTCAGTTATCTTCAAAAAGTAAGTATGCTATCTGGAGCTTCAATGTTTTGTCAAAAGGGCTACCAGCTAGATATTGAAGGGCTCTATGGCTTACTTCAGCTTGTATGTGAGGAATATCATCAACAAAGAAAAGATTCTGCCTTGATGGATTTGACCTATATGAGTCGGGATAAAATATAAACTGCTATGTGCAAAAGCAATTACCAAGCAAGTTCTAGTTTCATTTATCTTGCAGGATATAGTTTCTTCATGTGCAGATTCCCTCTGCAATGAATGTAAGACTGTTTATATTGCCGAATTTATTTCTAATAATCTTGAAAAATGTTCCAACTGGTAAGCATGTGTACATGGTTTCATAAACCACAGGGAAATAGTAATCTCAACATGATGGAATGTCATTAACTTCAGTGTCATATGAAGAGATCTCTAATTTTGCGAATGAATCTCAATGTTGCAGGTGATGAGAAGCAGGAGTCAGGTCCTGAAGACATAAACCATCTGCTTTTCTCAGCAATCGTTCCAGGCAACTGAAGATTTTGTTTGTTTGTGCGCATGCACGCAAGTGTGTGTATGTGTGTTCTTTTCTTTTCTTTTCTTTTTTTTTTTTTTGAATTTTATTGGTACATAAGTAAAGATTTTGACTAGTCATTGTTCCCAAGCTAGTCGAAGCCAGTTCATTAACCTCTGAAGTTGGTAAAGCTGTTGCAGTGATACTTGTATTTGTATGCATTTTAGTTCCTTGGACATATATGCCTGCACTATGTAGTGGTGACATAGTATTTTCTAGCGCTTATTCTTTCCCTAGTGTTCTTCTTTTCCTGTAAAGTAAGCAGCAAAATATGATTTTGAAACATAATTGTCTCTATTTCCCACTCTCAACTTGGAAGTCTTTTGGTCTTCCATTGCTCTTGTATCAATGTGCCAGTGCTACTTGAAATGTGCTTGATTTGCATGATATGTTGATTTTTTGACGAAATACCAAAGAACATTGACTGGCTTAGCGTATTTCCAATTACGAATGTCTTTGTGTAGAATGCGTGCAATACACTTATACCAGGAGAAATGGTTTCTTAAATCTTGGTTGGTTTTGGGAAAGAAGGAGGCATAGTTTGTTTCTGTGGTTTTTTTCTCATGAACAAGGCGTGAGAAAAACCTTTGGACTTATATGCAGATTACCATCGCATCAAATATGCAGGTTGCATCCCTGTTCAATGTGTATCCAGTACTTTTGCTGTCAACAAATTGAAGTGAGCCCCTTCTGTCTAGCCTTGTGTCATATCAAAGAACCACAAGTTGGATTGATGAGAGATTCTTGGTAAAACTGGTCTAACGTCTACTCTACATGAGAAACTGATCAATATTGCACTTTTCCACAAAATTTGATTTTGTCTATTACTACAGCAATATATTATCCTAGCAATGATATGAATTGATACCTTCAAAGGATATTGGTCTTTCCTTTTATTTTTCGTTGGAAAAAAAAGCTAATATTCATTCTCGCCCACTTCTAGCATTTGTAAGTATAATCACACCAACTTCTACCAAATTTGGATCCACAAGTACTACTTAATAAGTTATCAGCACCAAACTGTTTTTTTTCTTTTCACAAATGGTAACAGTACTTTTATATATTAACACTTGATAATACAAGATTTAGTTACAAAAAGGATCACCCCTTCATATCGTTCTTTGCTATGTCCATTAGTCATACTGGAACTCATTGTCCCATTCTACATCATTTACTAGCTTGATTGCATATTGAGATAGTGTATAGCTACATACATTCCCTACTCTGTACACAAAAGAAAAGTTGCACTATTCGAATTCTTTCTTCATCTCCTCAATATCCTTCAGGACTGTTGCAATGTTAATGTCTTAAACATTGCTTGCATTGATTTTGTCCACCACAGATTTGCAGTCTGATTGGACTTCTATTTTAGTCCATCGTGCATCTTTGGCCATCATAAGCGCAGCTCTTACTGCTAGAGCTTCTTCCTCAATAGCATTTCTGCTCCTGCATTCCATTGTACCCACTTGCTTTCATTATTTTACCAGTCTAGTTACTTGCTGTAATTCCTTTCCCTGTTCTTACCATTTGAGTTGATATGGCTACATCTGTGTTAATCTTAACAACTCCTAGCTTTGGTGACTCCCATCTCACCTATTGTTGCTTTGACCTTTTCCTCTTCAGTTGCATTAGCCATTTCGGACTCCATCCATTCCTGTTGCGCCTTTTGCACTATGTCTCTTGCTTCTGTGACTTTATGCTCAAAGATTCTCTTGTTTCTTGCCTTCCATAACTGCCACAAAATATTGATTCTGAAGTTAATTTGATCTCTTCCTTGAACTTTTTCCTCTACCTGTACTATTGTTTCCCACCACCTCCATATATTATCTCTTAGCTCTGTGACCCCTTCCCATATGACTAGTTATCAGCACCAAACTTGGCTGCACAAAAATCATCACATACTTGGCTGCCCAGAGTAGTGCAATTACTTTCAGAAATAAATTCACAACTTCCTTGAGAATGGACAAAAGGAGTGCCCCCATCAACTGCATAAGTAGTTCAATTGAAAACTCATCCAATTTCTGAAAGTAATTCAAATAACAATATAATTAGATGAGTCCTCCAAGAACAATAGCCACTAGCTAACAATAAAAATTATGTAAAATAGGTATTAAACAAACATGCCTTGTTTGGCAAGTAAGTTTTTGGCCAAGTTTGTCTATTACAATTTTTTAACAACTTTAACTACAATAATCTTAAAAAACTTCTCAAAATTTTTAAACTATACACTTCAAAATATTAAAAAATTTACACACTTTAAAAAAAAATTTTACAACTTCTACAGTAAAGTTTTAGACAAACACTCACAAAACTCACTTACCAAACGAGGCCAATATCCGTTGAGAAGCATTAAAAGTTCATAATGTTTCAATTGGAAACCCTTCAAGCAACTAAAAGATGATATCCATAAGAAGTGAGTTTTTCATGGATGATAATTCTTTCTATTATTTTAAACATTCACTTAGTTTCGGATGATTGGTGAAACTTTAGAAAAATTTTTAGTTGTTCTAGTAATTTATAAACTTGCTGTTCAATTAATGGAGGGTTCCATAAAAAACAACATTGTAAGAAATTCAGTCAAGGCTTATTATATTGAAGCACTAATTTGGAAGTAAGGAATTTTTTTTAAAATTTTTTCCAGAGAGGGGTGAGATTTAAAAAGCAGGGAAGAGGTAAGGGGATTTGAAAAGAATTAAGGAAATTTAGAAGATATTCGAAGGAATTTTCCTAAAATGAAAAAAAAAGACCATATTTCTCTTTTAGGATATACAAAATGGTATTATAATTTAAGACTAGTTTAGATTGTTGATTGCCATATGCGCCAATAAACTATACTGATATTCCATTTGCCCTTACTTCTTTAGAGAGCATATAGCAATTGACCCTAGTTTATTCATGAAAAATTTAAACTTTAATTCTTAAATGTTATATATTTTTGGATTATTGATAAAAAAAAAAAAACTTTATAGAGTAGAAGATTTGCTTTTGGGATTTGATGTAATTATCTACTCCTTTTTGGTCTATAATTGAAAAAAAAATTGACATGATTTTCTTGATGAGTAACAAAAATATCGGAATAATTCAGTGTAATTTGCTGAATGAGATTCTTGAGAATTAGCAGTTAAAAGATCACGAATGGTTAAAAGTTGGGATAGGCAACTTCTGCTTAAGCATGAAGTTTAATTATTTGCCACCCCAACTATGTTGAAAGTTGGTCAAAAGAGCAATCATGTACAAACACTACGCTAAAAATGTTCTTGTATACATGTATTCTGTGTCATTTAAAGTTTTTGCTTACAAATACTTGCATAATGATATGAAGTTAGTGCTTACCATAATCCAGTTTCTATAGAAATTTTAAGCAAATTGTTCTTTACACCATTAGAAGAATAGCAATTTCAATTTTTTAGGTGCAAACACTACTAAAAATGTATTTTGATACTCTCTTCGTCCCATTGAAAGTGTCATACTTTTCATTTTAAAATGTTTTAAAATGTTTGTAATGTTGAGAAAGTCAAATAATTTTTTAGTCTCTCTTTTCAATATAGTCCTTTCTTTAATCATATGCATGCTAACATTCAAATTTAAAATTTGAATTTGTGGAAATAAGATTGGAAAAAAAGTACAAACATCACAATCAAATCACTATTATTAAAAAGTTGGATTCTCGAAATATGACAAAATAATTAGGACGGAGGGAGTATATGTTTTGGGTCATTTAAAACTTTTTGCTTACAAATACTTACATAATGATATGAAGTTGGTGCTTACTGTAATCCTGTTTTTATAGAAATTTTAAGCAAATTGTTTGATACACCATTTGCGGAATTGCAATTTCAGTCTATAAAGTTTGGGCACTGTAACAAAAGAGGCCCTTAAAGTTTCAAAGAAGATAAATCTATTGTTTTTGTTTCCAAATTTACCAAAACATAACCTTGTAAGCTTGTAAAAGGAGGCTTCAAGCCTAATGATCTCGGGAAGCCCAACACGATTTATCTACTTCACTATATTACATCATGCAATAAGCAAAGTATAAAACCAAACCTTATTTGGTTGGTAATATTTTCAATTTTGACCAAAGAAGTTATTGGCAAAAATTAGGGAAAATTCAAATTGTGAAAGTTTTTTTGTGATTTTTTTTTAAAGTGAAAGGTCTTGAATCCAAGACTTCTTACTTACAACCCCTCCCATCTTACCACCCAATCTAACTCTACCCCCAAATCATGAGAGTTACTTCTTTATAGAATAAAATAAGGTATAGCTCTTAAAATCAGTTAGAAACTATTCTTTAGCTATTTTTCTCTTCCATGCTAATGTTCATTACAGTTTCAAAATTTTAAAAAAAAATGTTAAATTTTTGTTATAAAAAAATGTTGAATTTTTTATTAGCAATGGAAATCAATTTGTTTTGATAATCTTAACTAACATTTAGAGGACTATTATAGTTAGCATTCAACACCATCTTTTTTCCACTAGTTAACAATATTGGGGATTAGATTTGCTTTTGTGGAAACTTTTGGGTAATATGGTCAAATTATAAATGTTACAAACTATACTTGTGTTTCTCAAAACTTTGAAGACTTCTACGGCGCAATCCCTAAACTTTGTTGACCCCAATAGCTTTGGCAAATTTCTAAAAATATTGTCAAAATTGAAAAAGTTCAGAAAATTGGGGTTATGTGGGGGGAATTGCTGAATAAGGGGTCGTCGCAATTGAGAGGTGAGGCTACTAATAAAAAGAGTTTTAATTTTCATTTATTTTGGTTTGATTTTTTTTTAAACGCTTCGCCGCTCAAAGGAATCTTGGTCATATTCATCGCTGCTCAACTGATGAGCGGCGATACATTCTTGTTTTTTTTTTCGAAGCATTCTTCCTACCTTTTATTATTTCATATGTAATTTTTAATAAGTTATTTAATGTTTAATAAAAGGCAGCGCGACCAATTTTTTTCCTACCATTTAGGGCCCGTAACCTTAAATACGCGTAATTAGTTTTACGTTTTACATGAAATACTAATTTTCAAATTACAATGTAACACTTTTCAAATTAAAATTATTAAATCATATTACTAAAATTCTATTATAAACTAAAATTATCAACAATTTAAAATATGATATTAGAATAATGTTAAATTTATAAATTAAGATGATAATCGAGTATGCTATTAAATTACTAATTTTATTTACCTAATTCATATTTTTAAATTTTATAATATTATTATCGCAATCAATAATGATAAATAATACAATATTTATAGAATTTAATAATTAGTATATAAACTTAAATAATAATAAATTAGGCTTAATTAGA